GGCTTAACCCTTGAGACTGGAGGCGAGGACCTGCCGGACGCATGCAGGTCCGTGCCGGTCAATCCCGCGCAGCTGCGATATAACGTCATTGCGGCGCGGGAACCGCGCAGCGGGGAGTGGCGATACTTGACTGCATTCGCCATGCTGTTCGGCTTGTCGTCGAGTGTTATGAATATCATGCGGTGGTCTGCCTTTCTGGAAGCCGCTGCCAGGCGCGTGGCGGCATTGTTGCACACAATGTATGTCGATGATGGCAGTCTTGGGGACCTCAGATTGACGAAAGGCTCGGGACAGGCTTTACTCAACGTCTTGTTTTCGGAGTTGGGTACCCCGAATGCCAGCGCGAAGCAGCAGCGCATGGCCGCCACTGGGGCATTCTTGGGAGTCGATCACGACGTGTCTCGGGTTTTTGAAGGCAGAGGGGTGGTCTCCTTTTGGCCGAAGGCCAGCATGATTGACAAAATCAAAGGCCTGCTCGCGGAGCACCGTGCGCGGAACAGCCTGACACCAGCGGAGGCCTCGAAGCTCCGGGGCATTCTGCAGTGGTCGTCCTCCGCGATGTTCAACGGCGTCGGCAGCGCCGCGATGGCGCCGCTGAAGCAGAGGCAGTACACTGACGCGCCTCCGTGGGCGTTATCCCACGCGATTCGGCGGTGCTTCGATTACTTCGAATTTGTAATAGACCTTGCCCCGAAGAGAAGCGTCGACGTGAGCCCGCCCTCGTGCCCGCTGATTGTGATCGCAAGCGACGCGCGGGCTGACGGGGCGACCGCGCCCACAGGCGGCTACCTCCTGGTCGATTGCTTGACAGGGGAGCGTGTGGGAGGATGGTGTGTATTCGACGATGCCATACTCGCGGAGTGGGGTTTCTCGCCGGCGGACCGGGAGAGGGGCGCGAATCCGATCGCCCTCTGTGAGGGGGCCATGGTCCCCATTGTCCTGGCGCAAGAGGCGCGGAGGTGCCGAGGGAGGCGCATCCTGTGGGTGCTTGACAACACGAGCGCTCTCCACAGCTTCGTGAGTGGCAGGTGCGACCATGCTACCCTGGACCGGAGCGTCAAGCTTATGAATTTCTTCAAGGCGCGCGCCGCGAGGGCAAATCGCGGGGGGACGCGCCGTGCAGCGTGTCGCGCCAGTTTCACTGCGACATGTCCACCTGGCTCGAGTGGGTAGACTCGAAAAGCAACTGGTCGGACGGGATCTCACGGCGCGCCGTGCGCGCGCGGGGGCGGCCTTCCCCCGAGTCGTCCACTCGCGCGGTGCCAGGCGGCTCGGCGAGGATAGCTTCGCCCGGGAGAATGGTTTTCGTACCGGCGAGGTGAGAGTGGACCCGGCCGCGTGGCGCGGGTGCTTACTAGACGCGTGGCGTTGGGTGCTACGGCGCGCGGAAGGCGCGTCCGCGAGGGCAATTCGCGGGGGGTGGGCCGCGGCGTGCAGCGTGCCGCGCCAGGCTCAGTGGATTCGCCGTAAAGAAGGAGTCCGCGCAGGAGAGGTGAGCGCGGGCCCAGCCGCGGGGCACGGGCATGCCTCAGACACGGGGCGCCGTGTACATCGACGCGCGATTGCGGAGCGGCGTCGGACCCAGAACAGCGTTGGGGGTGCAGAAACGCGGAGCCAGAGCAGCGTTGGGGAGAGCGGCATTACTGGCGAGCCACGCCAGGGTCTTGCCTTCTTCACGCAGGTGTTCCATTCGGGGGGTTTGGTCACCCCAAGGTCGTTCTGCACCCCCGGAGCACCGTTACACTTTCTGGGGTCGGGGGACGGGGTATGGGTTGGGGGAATGGGTGGGAGGATGGGGCCGTCGCGCGCCGTGTTCGCAGGTGGAGCGCGCGCGCGCGCGGAGGAGCGGGCCGCCCGCGTGCGCTTCGCGCCGCGGCGGGGCGCGTGCGATTCGCGGCGCGCGAAAGTTGCCAGGGGCCGCGCAGGGCGCGGCGCGGGGAATAGGCTGTCGGTGATTATGCGTTGACTTTAGGCTCGGGGAGGCTCGGGTCAGGGAACCATAATCATGACAGAAGGGGACGCCCGCGCGCGCTCGCAGGGACTGCGCGCATCAGAGCGCGCAATTGGATCGTGCGAGCAAAGCGCGTTGGCGACAGCGGTTGCTGTTGGTTTGTTTCCCACCCACCACACCCTGGGCCCCGGTGGGGTTACCGGGGAGAATTTGGGATGGGCGCCGGCGTGGACTTCGTCGTGCAAGAGGCGATGCGCACCGGCTGCGAGGGGTCCTGCCTCGGGTCGGCCGAACGTGTGCGTCGCAGGTGCGAGAACGCCGCGCAGGTCAGCGCGTGCGGGGAGGGGGCCTTCCTTCCCTGGTGGCCGCTGGCAGCGGTCGCATCACCAGGTGTAACGTCTGACAGGTGCGCGACATGTTTTGCGCGCGCGAACACGCCCGCCGTATCCCGACCCCCGGCGGGGTGCTCGGGTCGGCGAGGGCGGCGCCGGACGCCGGCAGTGTTCGCTTTCCCCGTGGGGAGAGCGGCATTACTGGCGAGCCACGCCAGGGTCTTGCCTTCTTCACGCAGGTGTTCCATTCGGGGGGTTTGGTCACCCCAAGGTCGTTCTGCACCCCCGGAGCACCGTTGCACTTTCTGGGGTCGGGGGACGGGGTATGGGTTGGGGGAATGGGTGGGAGGATGGGGCCGTCGCGCGCCGTGTTCGCAGGTGGAGCGCGCGCGCGCGCGGAGGAGCGGGCCGCCCGCGTGCGCTTCGCGCCGCGGCGGGGCGCGTGCGATTCGCGGCGCGCGAAAGTTGCCAGGGGCCGCGCAGGGCGCGGCGCGGGGAATAGGCTGTCGGTGATTATGCTCGGATCCGTTGGAGGTTGGATGTCCCTAGTGAGGTTTTGGTTGACCAGGCGGGTCGCTCCTGGAGTTTGTCGGAGTTTTCCCAAGGTTCCTTCGCCTTTCGCGTGCGCGAAGCGTGCGAGGAAGCTATTGTGATGGAACAACAGGTTCGGCAGAACGATTTTGGCGCCGAGTGGCGCGGCCCCATCTGTTTCAAGCCGGCTCTTGATTTGATTTCGAAGCAGAGCTCACACTGGTCTGATCATTGTCGTCACTGCTTGCGCAGCCTGATTGCTAATAGGTATCGGTGCCAGCAGCGATTTCACGACGCCTGGCAGGACATCTCTCCTGCTTGTTTGGTCTGCCAGGCTCCTTCTGGCACCATGTTTCATCGTCGCTTCGATTGCCCCGCCCACGAGGCGTGGCGGCGAGATGCGTTGAGCCTGGACTTGCGTCGGGCGGCGGATCGCGTGCGCCTCCTGTCACCCAGAGCCCAGGAGCTGTCTGCCAGGTGTGTGCTCCCTGACCTCA